TGTTTGTCCTTCACCCCCGCCAACTTCATTTAGTGCCTGAGTGCGAAGACACTCGTCAAAGGCTGCTCGCCGAACCCAGTGGGACAGGCAGTTACAGAAGTGTAGCATCCTGCCATATAGGGTGGGTTGTGTGAGGCACTTAGACTTGTGAATCTGTCTGTGTTACGTAACAATATCATATTTATCATTATCATCCATCATTATTTTCATCATTATTGTTAACATTTTCACATCATTATTGTCATCATCATCGTTATCAACGAAACTATTACCATAACCGTTAAAATGATAATTGACGAGCAGCATTATCTATTTTTATTGATGTGTGTGAGCGTGTGCGTGTGTGTGTGTGTGTGTGTGTGTGTGTGTGGTGTGTGTGTGTGTGTGTGTGTGTGTGTGTGTGTGTGTGTGTGTGTGTGTGTGTGTGTGTGTGTGTGTGTGTGTGTGTGTGTGTGTGTGTGTGTGTGTGTGCATATATATAATTGACTCCTTGGTGGCTAAGCGCTTGTGGAACTACCTCTGTGAAACTATAATCAATAAACTAAAATAACAATGGATGTGGCATGCAAGGTCTATATAAGTACTTATACACTTATATAGACCTTGGTGGCACGTACAGGACGTCCTGCCAACCGCGACGGGTAACGACCTCACCCCTTCCCTTGTTAGCCTTCCCACTGCCCAAAATATAATCACGGAATGGAGTGCGCTAAGAAAACCCTGATGCACTGAGCTCTATTCTCAGCGCAACTCAGCTTTGGGTAAAAAGAAGTAAGGTAAAAAGAGGCGATAATGGACCCATGCATCCACACCTGCTTGCCTCCATGCTTGATTGACTGTGCTTGCCTCACTCAAGTGCAGCAGTCAGAAGAGTATTTCCATGTATAAACCATATGAAAACATTTGATGAATAGGCTTTCATCATAAATTCTTTCTGTAATGCTTCATATGACAAGGCTACTCCTAAATGACAGCTAATACAATTTAGGAATAACAGAGAATATAGGCACATGTACACGATATGCAGAAGATAAAACTGACGTTTCTGAAGATGATGATGAGTGACAATGAGTACCCATGTCTGAACAAATAAATGGATAGAGATCATAAACATTTTTGGCAAAGAATTTAACTTTTTTATAGTTTTTGTTAGGCACTATCCAACAGGTTTTGTAATTGTCACGAAGTATTTCATGTTGACAAAAAAATCCCATTTTTACTGTTTGTTTCATTATCCGATCCACCACTTATTAAACAGAAAAATACTACAAACAGAATAGTTTATGCAATAATAAGAATATACTGAATTTATACTCTTTTCTATTAAATATTCACTTGGAATGGTTTGAAATTCTTCCCCGCCATCTGACTAACAACCCACAAAAATGTTTCCTAAAATCAGTCGTAGCAGAAACCCTATCTACTACGACGCCCCTAACCGGGGGGTAAGGGGAAAATCTACGGCATTTACACACCGTATTTCACACGTGAGCGAGCCGTGCCAATAAAAATAATAAGCGAGAAATATTCGTAAGAGGCCATGGGTAAGCAGAAGAGCAACCTTCCTGGACGTGTAAATGACAAGGTATATCGCTTGGATAAGCACAAGGTTAGACTATCAATTAGACCTTAAATGGACTGACAACAACTGTGGGCTGATGGACCGCGTCATGGGCCAGCCCATTGGAGGCAACAGGCTGATGGACCACAGTGTGGACCAGCCCACTATTAACATGGTGGACCAACCCGCCACAGACATCGAGGTGATGGATTACAATGTGGACCACCAATTGCAAATATAAAGTTTAGTGGCTTCATTGTGGACCAGCTGATGAGGACATTATGCTGATGGGAACATTATGCGAACCAGCCCACTGGAGACGTCAGGCTGATAGACCATTCCTTAGACAAGGCCATCATAGACAGTTTGATGGACCACGATGTGGAACAGCCCAGTTATAAATGTATCACTGGACCATGTGGACCGGTCCACCACAGATGTTAGGTTTATTAACCTCACTGCGAACCCTGGTCCATCATTCTGATGGACCATAATGTGGACCAGCCCACTAGGTAGGTGAATGAAACAGCAGGCTACAGGTGATGGGAAAAAGAATGCAGTGGTAAAATGCATGGCTTATCCCCCTCTCCCATGGCTTACCTGGATTCATAGCAACTACTTAAAACCAACAAGCTATTAGACAATTCCGATGCCCTTTCGTCATGAACTCCAGCCCCTGTTGCGAAGGTCCCTCTCCCTGCTGTGTTCCTGTCGTTAAGGCAGCACCCAGTCTTTCTGCTCATAGTGGCTGCTGAGGACCATAAGCCTCACTGGCGGGCCAATTCAAGTCCAAGTAGAAAATCTACCATAGAAATCCACAAATGAAACAGACCAGGTGAACTGGAAGAAAATATTTCTGACAGGGTATGATTGTCTCGTACATGTATGAGACGATCAATTCGCAATAAATAAATCATAGGCCTATTATGCCAATTGTATGCCAAGTTGTGTTTACGTGAATATTTCTAGGAAAGGGGGTACATACCTTTAATCGGATTCTTAAAGGAGTCTGTGGCTAAGAAGGTTAAGAGCCATTGATAGAGGCAATCGAGCTAAGGAGCTCAAGTGGTTGGAAAATAAGGGAATACTTCTAGATGCCAGGTCTCTTAAAAAAAAAAAATAAAATAAAAAAAAATAAACCCCTTAAATCAACAATTATATTTCTGAATTCCCATGCAGTTACATCCGTGATGCGCCTGCTAATAGATTTGATACTACGCTTCGAGTAAGAACATTGTAAACCTAACAATCAATATACATTACAGAACAGTCGTTTAAACCTAACAATCATTATATATTACAGAACAGCCGTTTCCTCAATTCTTTCATTGTGGCTTCAGTAAGGTTTACATAGTACTGGTGATGTATATTACTCCCGACCATGCGGCTGGTCGCTCTAAATAAGAAACCATCCATAAGGTCTCAGGCAATCCCGAGGCTACAATAGGTATATTGTACCTTGAGATCCATGCACATGATGATGTCCCTGCCAAATTGTGCCGCTGCTGAAATCACCTCAAAAACTGCTAGTCCATTTTGCCTGGGTGAACCCTCTTATCCCTAAAAAAGCTCCTGACACATTGACACTGTATATTTGGTTCTGGTTCATCCATGAACAACAGCATTCATCCACATAACAAGTTGTACTTAGCAACAAGTCGTTTGCAGTCTGATGTGCTCTAGAGCGTAAAGACTGAGCATGTGAGGTTCCAGACAATGCCTAAGAGGAGTACAGTCACCCTGCAGCAGAGTTGTCGCGAAAACCGACATGTGGTTACTGATTGGTCGAGATTGTCCAAAACTGTGATATCATTATTGTTTTCTTTGAAAGCTTATTTGGCAAGCTTAAAATGAGCCCATTCAGCAAATATTTCATGGTTTCGTCATTGCTCACAGACTTTTTAAAATGCATTTGCATAGCCCACTCAAGGATTTGAGTTGAACTATATGACGTCATCTTTAATATCAAAAACCGTTATAAAGTTATTTGTTTTCACGTATCTTTCGTTCTTTAGTGTTCCGAGCTATTGACAACCTTCTGAAAATACTCTTCATTACAGAAGCAAATTAAAGTTTCACCTCCTGTCTTATATTTTTGTTGTCATTACTGTGTAGGTCACAATCCAAAGTAATTTTGTTTTAATATATCACACAAGAACATTAAACAATACATTTTGTATATCTGCATTTTATTTCATATCTTCTCGTATCACGATTAAGAAAGTTATTGTTGGATCCTTTTTTTCACTTTTCTAACATATCCATCTGAAGCCGAGGCAAAGATAAACTGAAATATCTCCGCGAATGAATGTGTAGCCAAATAAGTACAATTCATGGATACATTTTCATGTTATACGATCCTCTTTCATTCCATAATGTATGTTCCAGGAATAAAAAAGTAACTCACCACACTCGCTTGGAGGCAGCAAGGAGGGATCATAGAGGTCGCTTCAAGGCATCACAAGTAGCCACGCGCTCTCTTCCTCTCTCGTACGTTCTCTCGTGATCGCTAGGCATTTTGCGACTGCTTGTTTCGGCTTAAAACATTCGCAGATGTTGTGCGAGTCGAGCGACCGGGTGTGCACTCGCAACGCGGTCGCAACGCACTCGCTGCGCGGTAGCATTTTATGCAAACTTCAAGCCAGGATTGGAGATGCCCCGGCATTGGTTCCTGGTCCTCTGTTGGCCTGTCTCACCCTCTCGAGGATCTCATCAAACAGCTCCAGGGGCATCCTCATATAATTAGTTTAGATTATCCGTCCTCAGATCCTGGGCAAGCCCGTACTAATGGCTGTAAAGTCTCTGCTGTTTTATAGGCCAACTACGAACCCAGACCTGCGGTCGACGCCTTTAAAGCGAGGTACACGTCGTCCACATTGACGGCATGGCCATTACGCCGAGCCATCCCGCCGCCCGTGCACAGAGTACCAAACTGCGACAGCTCATCAACACAGAAAAATTCAGGCAAGCAAAGAAAGACCACTCCTGAAAACATTCTTACTGTCCCAGGGAATAATGATACTTTAACAATGATCATGTTACAGTGTTCCTAATTAGGTCGATAAGGTCAATTAGCTAAGTTAGAATCAAATATGAATTTCATCAGACATTAAATAGATTCAAATATTCATTAAAGCTTCATACTTTGTTATATCATAATTCATTTTAAAAGATTAGAAACATTGCCACAATGGAAAATCAACAACACAAAAAAATGAAAATGCATTAATACCCTCTACCACCGGGCAAGGAGAAAGGGCGTTCCCTCTTTCTGGCTCGCCCTCGAACACCCCGTCGCGATCCGCCAAAGCTGGTAGTAACCTATAAAGAAATTCGTGCCTCATCACATTATTTTTTCTCTTAATAAAACATTCTTCAACATTCGTTTTCATTGTCATCATCAAAAGAAACAAATACTAAAATTATTTTTCCTTACCATAAAAAATGAAAATCTCGCCTTGCATCTATGCAATGACGTTCACATTTTTCTCCTTCCGTTCTCCCACTAAAGAGGCACAAGGCCTTAATCAATTTTTACCTTAGTTAATCTATAAATTATATATTAAAAAGGTATCTATCACAATTTGAATTATTTTATACAAAATGATAATTCATCAATAATAGTACCAAACGCCTACAGTGCATGCAAAAAAAAAAAAAAAAAAAAAAAAAACTACAGCACATACAATTCCGAAAGGCAACAAAAAAGTATTCTTTCTTCAAACAGGAAACAAGGAAACTGTTTTTTACAAAAAAAAAATGGAATTTTCCCAGTTTGGATTCTCAAGAAATGTTTAATTTCAAGTTTTTGTTTTCTCAGTGTCGTGATTATAAATACACTTCGTCATGTGAGAATGTTTTAAGACCATGTCGTAAACAAGATGTAAATTTATCTGTAAATTACAACTGTTGCGATTATTTGGTATCACTGCCACCACCACTTCTTCTTTTAATAGGCAAAACTGGAAACCTTATACATTATGTGTGCACAAGTGACCTTGGTTTTACTATTTCTATTTTTATTTCTTCTATATCTGATATAAACTTAAAACAACTTATATATATAATAAAATGCAAACAGATTTGAATCAAAGACTCGAACGGTGTGTTAGGGAAGAGAGTGGAGAGACTGACATTATCAACATCATTTTCATAAGCATTATATCAATAATTCTTTTGTAGAATATACTTTTCTGTGGCCGCTATGGCCATAATTCTTTTCATTATTATTACTATTATTATTAGTTACAATCATTATCATTATCAAAAATACTATCACTACATCTAACAATTATAATGATTATCATAGCAGCGATCATTAATAGTTATCCTACTTTCATAATAGCATCAATAACAATTATAACAGCTGCACAGGTGGTAAAAAATACAAGTAGTGACAACGATAACAGAACCTTAGAAAAATAGACGGCGTAGAAGTCCCTTGTAAATAATGAAATTCCTTGTTCGGATGTCATACTTAATAGTGTGGGCTCATGAATAAGCTGTAAATATTTTGCTATTGTCTTGACTAGACTGTTTTTTTAAGTGAAGCAAGTAAGGATCTGAAAATATGTTTGAATATTAAAATCAACAGCAATGATCCCGCAATATATGAATTCTACAAATCAGTTTAC